TTACGATCACCGAGCGATCTCCCTGTCATAGGGTTTTCATAGGACGTTCACGCGTGGGGCTGTTCGCGATCGTAATAGTCGATATGTTGAGAGTCGGACGGACTGGCCAGCCTTCCGGGCTCGTCTGAAGGCGAACTATTCCCCGCTCGATGATGCAGCCGACAGAGTCGAAGTTGAGTACGGTGTTTTGGCGGTTTCAAACGCTCTCGTTAGGGCATGTGACTTCTCGATGCCAGTCTCCCATGGTGCAGGCCCAAAACCTGTACCCTGGTGAATGGTCGAGGTCGCCGCTGCCCGCGGGGATGTCTGCCGAGCCAGAAAACGCTTTCAGGGAACGAGGAATGCAACCAACCGCGAGGCAAACAGACAGGTTTACGTTTCACTCACTAACGCGTTTACGATCCAAGACGTAAACACCGCCGTTCTATCGATGGGTAAGCGCAAGACGCTCGGACTTGACCGGATTACAGCCAGCATCCTCTCACAGGCTCTGCTGATTCTCGCCCCGGTAATCACGATGTTGTACAACTATTGCCCACTGGTGGATGTATTTCCGTCGACCTGGAAAGTCGCTGACGTAATAGCCGTTCCGAAAGGTGCTGATAAGGATAAGTCGGATCCGAAATAATACCACCCTATAAGCCTGCTACCAATCTTGGGTAAGGCGTTAGAAAAACTCGTGAGTGCGCAGCACCGAAACCACCTTGCTAGCCATTCCCCCTTGTCGGTCAAGCAATTTGGCCTTATGCCTCAGAGCTTGGCGAAAGACGCGATCAACGCACTACTCGCTACGGTGCGTGATTCGACTACCAAGTAAGTTGTCATCGTATTCCTCGATATCCGGGAGGCCTTCGATAATACTTGTTGGCCGTCCGTCCAGCAGCATTGCGCCGACGTGACACCCCACCAGACCTATAGAACCTCGTTAACCTCTTCGTGGTATTTAGAAATCCTTTCCTACATTAAGCGGAGCTTCAATGCGTTTTTCAACAGTGAAGAGATTTTTGCCATGTTCATAAAACTGCGTTTGTCCTTTTCTTTATCCTTTATTCATATTCATTGTTTTCATTGATCTTTTCATGGCCAAATATCCTCTTTAGTATTTTCTTCTGAAATATCATTTTTTCCCTGATTATTATGCAAATTACATTGGATATCAAAAACCGAATTTTTCTGTTAGTGGCTACCAACTTTTAAGTTGGGGCAATATTTCCGGTATATAACCTGGTGAACAGAAATCAAAAAAACAAAAAAGGAAAACGATGGCGCCAAAGTATGCCGTAAATATTTGCCTTTTTACACATAATTCTTTTTCTGATTTTTACCATATATTTTAAAGATTATTCGGAATTTTAAAAAATGACCGTTCAAATGTAGCAACTAAAAAACATTATTTTTCAGAAAGAGTTCTACTAGATATTTCAGAGCAAGTGTTCTGGTAGAAAAATTAATTATACGCTCACAAAAAAAAAAAAATTCATCATAGTCAAACCAAAGTATACCCTCGCTATGCTCCATATCTAAAATAATATATTCTAATCTGTAAACATTAATTTTCTCAACAGTTTTTTTTTAGTTTTAATGTATAGTTGTATATATTACGACTTAATAATTGAAATTTAGCTTATAGATTTTAACAGGATTTTTAAATCTTAGTATAGATGTTTAGAATAAATTTTATTTTATCTTATTTAAAATTTTATTTCATATAAAATTAAAATTAATAACTATCCAATATAATAATTATTTAAGAAAAATTGTGTACAAATCATTTTTTCGGCAAAATTAATTTTTTTAAAGTTATTTTTTAAACTGTTTTTATTAATTTTAATGCTTCTAAATTCGAACGTGAACATCATCGTTCCAATTTTTGGTATCTAGGTTAAACATTTTCCGAAGTGATAAANAATTTGAAATAAAAATCGTATTTCTTGTTTTTTATTTTTTCCCGATTATTATGCAAATTACTTTGGATATCAAAAAACGACTTTTTCTGTTAGTGGCTACCAACTTTTTAGTTGGGGCAATATCTCTGGTACAAAACCTAGTGAACAGAAATCGAAAAAAAAAAAGGAAAACGATGACGCCGTGACATGCTGTAAATATTTGCCTTTTACCCATAATTTTTTTTCTGATTTTCCCCATATATTTTGAAAATTATTCAGAATTTTAAAAAATGACCTTTCAAATGTAGCAACTAAAAAACATTATTTTTCAGAAAAAATTCTACTCGATATTTCAGAGCAAGTGTTCTGGTGGAAAAATTAATCATACGCTCACAAAAAATAAAAAATACATCATAGTAAAACCAAAAGATACCCTCGCTATGCTCCATATCTAAAATAATATATTCTAATCTATAAACAATAATTTTTTCAACAGTTTTTTTTTAGTTTTAATGTATAGTTGAATATATTACGACTTAATAATTGAAATTTAGCTTATAGAATTTAACAGGATTTTTAAATCTTAGTATAGATGTTTAGAATAAATAATACAGTCTAGATATTCTTGTTTATTTGCGTTTTTATTTTATTTAATTTAAAATTTTAATTTATATAAATTAAAAATTATTAACTATCCAATAAAATAATTATCTAAGACAAATTGTGTACAAATCATTTTTTCGGTAAAATTAATTTTTTAAAAGTTATTTTCAAACTGTTTTTATTAGTTTTAAAGCTTTTAAATTCGAACGTGAACATCATCGTTCTAATTTTTGGTAACTAGGTTAAACATTTTCCGAAGTGATAAATCATATTGTTTAATAATCTTTAATATCACACAAAACGTATTTTTATAGTGTACTTTATTTTTTAGTATATTTAGGACATTATTTTAAATGAACAATTCATTATTTACACAAGTTTTTAAATTTTTTATATACCGCTATAAAAGAGTGTTCACATTATTCTTTTTTCACAAATCGTTCATTTTATAATTTGTAAAGTACCTACGAAACATTTATACATTTACAATGAAACGTACAATTATAATTTCTTTAATTCTTACTACAGTATTTGTCCACACAGCATACGGTAAATATATAAATTATGTATTTATAAAATAAAATGAATAAGGGCTAATACAGGAAGTATTTCGTATGCAATCACAAAATTGAAAAAAGTGCGTATGGAATATTAATGTACGGTATCGTATTTGCTCAACCTTAAGATAATAATAATAATAAAATACTATACTATACTATAAAATAATTAATACTGAGGAAACGGGTGCAGATGTTGTTAAAGGTAGATGATTGAAAAGGTAGAGTACATACAATTATTTAATTTATGCTAGTATGCAACAGAAAACTATTGATAATGAAAAATGTTTCGAAACGAAGTTCTGTTATAAATGTTTTTAAAGGCAATAATATTAAATCTATTTGTTAAAATTTTATATTAACTCTTATTAAAACTAATTAATTACTATTTTACACCAATTTTTTTTTTTTTTTTTTTTCTAAAAACTTAGTAAAAATTTAATTGGATCTCTGTCAAATATTCAATCATTTCTATTAGTCTATTAACCTATTTCACTAACTACCTGCCAAATAAAAATTACGTAAGAATCCGGCAATAATTATAACGTCTATATCTACAAAAATTGATCACAAATAGCTCAAATATTTTGACAATTTAAGACATCTAGAAAAAACAAATATTGAATTTCTGTAAATATTTTGAGTTTCTGCAAATATTTTTAATTGAATAACATTTTAAAAACGAAATTTCAAATGATAAAATATATATTATTATGAATTTTCTCGTACTTTTAAATAATAAAATTTTTAGGTCATAATTTTAAAAAAAAAAAAATCGTATTTCTTGTTTTTTTGGTTTCCCCGGTTATTATGAAAACTACTTTGGATACCAAAAAAAGGCTTTCTCTGCTAGTGGCTATATACTAAACGAAACAACATTGATTTCTTACAACTTTTTGGACGGAGTAATATTTCTGGTAAAAAACATGGTGAACATAAATTTAAAACCGTGAAAGCGATGACGCCGTGGCATGTCGTAAATATTTGCCGTTATACTAATAATTTATTTTCTGATTTTTCCCATATATTTTGAAAATCATTTAGATATTTAAAATAAGACCGCTCAAATGTAGCAACTGGAAAACATTATTTTTCAGAAAAATTTATAAACGATACTTCAAAGCAAGTGTTCTGGTAGAAAAATTAAACATACACACAAAAAATCATAGAAAAACCAATAGATACCCTCACTATTCCTCATATCTAAAATAAAATATTCTAATCTTTAAATATTAATTTTTTCAACAGTTGTTTTTAGTTTTTATGTATAGTTGTATATATTTTGACTTAATAATTGAAATTTAGGTAATAGAATATAACAGGATTTTAAATCTTATACGCGTTCGTTTAGTAATATACTAACTATGAATATGTCTTCGCCTTTGACACACGCGTATGGGGGCTTGGATCGTCTTTCGGAATGTCTGTGACGGGTCAGGTTATAGTTGACTATGCAGTTATACTACAAATACAACAAGAAAACGAAAAACTTAACTAAGCTTGTGACCCAATTACAAGTGTGCAATGCACAACTACAGAGTGAATTATTACATTTCCAAGTAAGTAATATTAATGATCCTAATAAAAATATCGAATACAATACGAAAAAAA